TTCGAAATTTAGTTCACTGAATCACCAGTAGGCCTAGCTCCCAAAAACGTCTGGGCATCGGTACAGAACAAAAACACGGCAAAACAGTCACTTGTCACCATCTCATGGAGTAATTAATTAACGTGCAGAAACGGACACTGAACAAAATAATTACAGTGTTTTGCAATCGCTAAAACACATTTGTCAAAACTTGGGTCACTTTTTCAAAACTTTTCACACAATGAGCACAACAACAGTTTATGTGGGCTAAACCATGGATCATTTAACTTTCGCACAAAATTACTTGAATTCAGAGACTACTTCTTTCAAATTACATAAATTATTTTCTCACTCAGACATAAACAACGGCAAAACTCTATACCTACATGCCAATTTGCACATGCTAACATATTCTTTTCGAAACAGTTAAACCTAAGTTCAAAACCTAACATAATACAAAATGAACAAGACCGCAATTTGCTACAATTCTACAGTAGGCCTAATACCTTATTGAAATATATTCTGAATCAAAAAATGAAATCTTTGAAAAACCGAGTTGAACAACTAGAGTTGCAGTAGTATTTCAACTGCATTACAGTTTTTCTCATTTGCTAAGACACGGTTAATGAACCTGGGATCCACTTGATCTTCATCATCACTTTTTCAGCACAGCAGAAGTCTTCTCTTGCAAATGTCTACACTTTTTCACACATTTTTGGGAGGAAATTTGATCTCACTGTGAAAAATGTTGTGCTGTCACATGTTGCAGCTGGTTAGGATTAGATTTATATAGAATCTATATATATAGAATGGTTAGATTTATATAGAAGAGAGCTTTTTTATTGTGTCACATTTGGCGAGGACGCAGCATTGCACTTTAAAGTGCTGGATCTGAACATGAACTTCTTTGTGTTCAGACATGTGTGGCGGCGTAAAGAAGATGATTGAGTAAAACTCTTCCCACACAGAAGGCAGTGATATGATTTTTCTCCAGTGTGAATCCTCTCATGTGTTCTCAGATATTCTGACCGACTGAATCTCTTGTCACAATGTGAACACTCGTAAGGTTTTTCTCCAGTGTGCATTCTCTGGTGCAGTTTTAGTTCAGCATTTGTAACAAAAGTCTTCCCACAATCAAAGCACATATGTTCCTTCACACCGCTGTGACTTTTCTGGTGTCTTTTTAAAGCACCTTGCTGACTAAAACGCTTTCCACACGAAGAGCACATGTGAGGCTTCTCCTGTGTATGAACTTTCATGTGGTTCTTCAGGGATTCTGGCCAAAAAAAGTTTTTACCGCACTGATCACAGTTGAATGGTCTTTCTCCAGAATGAGAACGCAGATGTAACTTAAAAAAGCCAATCTGTCTGTAACTCTTCCCACACTGACCACATGTGTACGGCTTCTCTCCGGTGTGGATCTTCATGTGTATGTTAAGGTTTGATTTTAGTGCGAAACTCTTCCCACATTGATCACATGTGTGCGGTTTCTCTCCAGTGTGGCTTTTCTTGTGAACCTTAAGATCTCCTTGTAGTGTAAAACTCTTTCCGCACTGGTCACACGTGTATGGTTTCTCTCCAGTGTGGATTATCACGTGTCTCTTAAGGTGTCCCTTTTGTGTAAAACTCTTCCCGCATTGATCACATGTGTACGGCTTCTCTTCACTATGATCTCTCATGTGAACTTTAAGACTTT